GGCCCCTGGCCAGTTTCAGCAGCAGCTGTCTTGGGGACGCCTGGGGCAGAGCAGCTGGGGAGCTGCTGGGTTAGTCCAGTAGCACCACACCTCGGCGCTGTGGGACCAACCCGGGAGCCCCCCAGCTGCTCTACCCCAGGCGTCGGCGAGAAAAGCCTGGTCTGCTGGGGGGGGCGCTAGCTCCGCATCTCCCTGGTCTGCTGGGGGGAAGCGCCGCCGGAGGCGGCAACAGTGGGGGAGGCACTCTGCACTAGCTGCGCCCCCCCTGTTTGTAACTAGGGGTCCTACTTAAGTCGGATTGACGTAACCCGGGGACTGCCTGTAGCTAGGAAATCTACAACATAACTCAGAACTACATTTGTCCTTGAGATTGTGTTGAGACTCCATCTTAATCCAAGTTCCTTTGAGATATAGAAAGTGATAGCCAAAATAAAGTGTGATGTGATCTGCCTGATGCGTGTTTTTTTTTAAATGTTTGTTAAAATCTAAATCATACAGTGGAAGGAGTAGTAGTGGCTAAAGTATCCAAACAAAATAAATACCATTGTTATAAATAAAATACTGTTTATGATCAGTCTTGTCGTATTACATATATTCATATTATTCTGAAAGGATTAATTGATCAAATATGATGAAAGATGTATACTTTAAACTAAGGGAGGCACTGGCTCCTAAACTAAAGCCTTTTGTCTCAGGATTCATTCTGGAGTTAATTTTTATGTTTAAATTCTAAGGCTTTGACGACAATAGCGCTTTGTAATGGAGTACTGGTAGATATTTAATGTAGTGGCACTAATCTTCTAATGATATAAAGCCGGATCAGTTGTGCATTTTACTATTTCCTTGAAAATCAGTAAAAACATCTGATGCCGAGGAACTCTGCAGAAGTTTTGAGTTGTAGGGTTTATTCGCAGAACTAATGTCAAATTGAGCTCATTTATTTTATTTTTTCTTTTAGCCACAGACTTACAAAAAATGCTTTAGATCATCATCCCCTGCCTGAACCACTAGATGACATTTACCCAGCTACCTCGGCCATTGAAAGCTATGAAGAATTCTTGAGGTATATAGAGTAGTAAAACGTTTTTTCAGGAGACCACAGAGAAACAGACAACTTTTGTGCTCTGTCTGCATTATCAGGAAGCTTCTGGGGATAGCCAAGTTAGTCTGTATAGGATAAACTTAAAAAACAACAAATGGTCTGGTAGCACTTTATAGACTGACAAAACATGTAGATGGTATCATGAGCTTTCGTGGGCACAGAAGAAGTGGGCTGTGCCCACGAAAGCTCATGATACCATCTACATGTTTTGTCAGTCTGTAAAGTGCTACCAGACCATTTGTTGTTTTTTAAGCTTATGCATTATCAGGATTAGAGATGTTAATATGTACATGGTTAACTGTTAAGCCTGGGCTCATTGATTAACCCGCATGGTTCCATGCAACCTCCCCTACTGCTGCCTCAGTATCAGAGGGGGTGGGAGGAGAAGAGAGCTGATGTGCATGGAGAGCCAGCTCATGCGGAGCCACCTCCCCTACTCTGTTGCCTCCCACATAGGCAGCAGCTGGAGGGAGGGGCAGGAGGGAGCTGGCTTAAAAGCTGGATCCCTGCAAGCATCAGCTCCTGCAAAGCCACCTTTCCCCCTATGCTGCTGCTTCTGATGCAGCAGCATGGGGGGAGGATACAGGTGGGAGCAGGTGCTCTGGAAAAGCTGGCTTTCGACGGAGCTACCTGACCCTCCGCAAACTGATATTACGTCTGTATCAGAGGCAACAGCGTGAGGTTAAGGGGGACAGCTGAGAGCCGGATTCGAAGACAGCTCCCTGCAAGCACCAGCTCCTGCCTGTCCCCCTGTATTTAAAAAAGTAACTGTTGAAAATTACAGCTGTTAACATTTACAAAAATAAACAGTTGTTAACATCCCTAATCAAGATATCACAGCAATACAGTCTATAAAATTGGGTGATAAACATGTTGATTCACAGTAACATGAATCCACAGTATAACTGCACTACTAATACTTTTTTCCCAAAGATAATAGTAGCTGGACCTCAGAGGTCTGCACTTTCACATGTTGTCAATGTAATTAATGGGACACCACATGGGAAAAAAGGTCTTCAGTACAGAATGGCTTCCTGGATTGAGGTTATAATGAGAACGGAGACAAGTGAATCCCAGCACTGTCCCCTTCCTAGCAACTTGACCCCTTACTAGGACATTGACTCTATGGTTTGCTGGTTGCCCTCCCTTTATTTTAGCAAGACAATCATATATTTTTTCAAGCCCAATGATACATTCATGTGACCACACGCAGTGTTTGGGAGTAATTTTCAGAATAGTTAAATCCTTTTGATTTATCACAGCCTGTGAATGTCGTGGGTCATCTCATTTTTATGCTAGAAGCAGGAGAGGGGGAGTGAAATTTTCTGAGGTGTGGAGAAGATGAACTGCTAATTCTCTATGTAGTTAAAGACAGAAGGTAATGAAATAACTCTGGGAAAATGAACACGTGAAGAACCTAATCCTGCAGCCCTCTTCTGGAATCTAAATGACTTTCATTCACATATTTGTAAACGTATCATGAGAATTTTTTCTCTCCCTCCTTCCCCCCGCATCCGGCATTTTAGAGAATCTGAAATTTTGAAGGACTCAGATTACCCAGATATTACTCCAACTGATAATGGAAGCTCGTGGTCTGCCAGTCAGAGTTACACAGGCACCTCCACTGAAGACAGCTCAGTCTTCTCTTGGGGCTATGATGTGAGTAGAACACGGTCCTCTAGCATAAAATTATCAAAGACAATGGAAAGTTGTGCCGACACATTTAAAGTAGCACTTTGAATATATTTCTTTTCAAAATCCAGGTTAAGATTAATGCTGTAAATAATACAATGGTATTTGTTATAAGAAAAAAATGAGGTTCTTTCTCTCATCATCCCCCGCCCTCTTTTCTTTATTATCTAATCAGGACATCTACCACTAATACCTAAATATAGCATAGTCTGCATTCTCATCTAAAATTTTCGGAGCAGAGTTGATTTGATGAATAAAGGTTATGTACACAGCATGTATGCTATAACTGCTGATCCTCACACATCAGTACATAGTTTTCATACGGTTGGATTTATCAGATTGTATTTTGTAAAACATCTGTACTCCTCAAAGCATATTAAAGTATGCTTTAATTTTTTTCCCGTTAAAAATGTATTCTTTCGTATTCCCACATAAATTTGGATTAACAGATGTTATTGCTGTCTCCAGTGTGGAGACAAAAATGGTTAAATTTTAAATGATTTGAAAAACATCTTCAGTTATTTACTGGTTGCATCAGAGGATTTGGCACCTGTTAACTCTTGATTACTATTCAGTGTCATAAATTTATGGCAATAAATGGCACATTTGGTACCATTTAGCATTGTTTTTATATTCTCTGCCACCTTGTAGTATTATTAATTATTTTCCATTTCACTGAAATGTGGATGGGTGTTATTTTCTCTTGTTTCTAGATAGCTTACCTGAATTGGCATGATTCAGCTGATGTAATTTTCTTTATTATTATTATTATTATTATTATTAATGATTAAAAGCAAATATTCCAACAACTTCTAATTTCTTTTCTGTTTATATTCTCTGCCACCTTGTAGTATTATTAATTATTTTCCATTTCACTGAAATGTGGATGGGTGTTATTTTCTCTTGTTTCTAGATAGCTTACCTGAATTGGCATGATTCAGCTGATGTAATTTTCTTTATTATTATTATTATTATTATTATTAATGATTAAAAGCAAATATTCCAACAACTTCTAATTTCTTTTCTGTTTA